GGGTGCCTGGCCAGTCTGGGTGAGGGGCTGAGGGCCGTTTGCAGGCTGGCTAAGCCCCCCAGTGGGGACCCTCACCCCATGAGGTTGTGGCCATCCTGGGTGAGGGGCTGATGGGTGTTTGCAGGCTGGCCACAACCCCCAGCTACCCCAGATCCCAGTGGAGTCTGGCTGGAAGCAGGTATCTGGGATTTATTTGTCTGCTATAATTGAAACTTTGTTGCCATGAGCGGAGGCCACAGCCGGCTCAAAGCAGGCAGGAAGCTTGGCTTCCTCCATCGCCTGGGCAACCAAGCCTCCTGCTTGCTCCAGCTCCGTGTCTGCCGGCCGCCGTCTTGGTTGGGTTAATTTGCATATAGTTGCTCTGATTGGCTGGTGGGCATGGCTTAGGGCATAGCAAAGGTACCATCAATTAGAATCTTTGTCTTTTATTAGTATAGATTGTTTTTAAATTTTTGAATTATCAATATTTAATTTTTATTGTATTGGCTGAACCTGATAGTTTGGTAATATATCATTGTAGTCTTTTTTTCCACACTCATGTACATACATTTTCTTAACACATTAAGCGCCCATCCTGTTTTGCCTTCTGGATGGAAAGTATAGTGTCAGTCACCGGTGACTGACGGTGCTTAACATGTTAAACTACACGAGTCCTGGGTGTCCTGTTTATTGCCTGCTTGCTTTACTTCCTGGCTTCTGGGCATGTCTGCCTCTCTCTTTTGCATGGTTGCCTTGCATCCTTTTGTGAGAATGAGCCCTTTCGGTAGACGTTTAGGCTGGTCCCAGTTTGCCACCACGCACACATCTTTGCGACCATGCTTCCCCTCACCTTTGCATTTTCATTTCACTGTGTGGTTTGTGGCGTTTCCCTCCATGCAGGCAACATGGCCAAGAAGAGCCCAGCTCTGGCATCAGACACATCTGGGTTCAGATCCGCTCTCTCACTTCATGTCTAATCTGAGCAAGTTTTAACTTCTAAGCCTCCATTTTCTCATCTGTAAATGCTGATATAATGCCCCGAGATGATTGTAAGGATTAATGACTCTGCAGATGTAGTGCTGAGCAGAGAGCGTGGTATTTAGAAACTGCTCAATGAATATAAGCTGCTGCAGTGATTATAGTTCTTAATATTATCATTATTCTTACTCTTCTTACTCAGATTCATCTGCCTCCAATGGGCCTTACCTCATTACGAGGCCGGGGACTTCGAAGCCAGGAGAAACTGAGGAAACTTTCCAAACCAGTTTATCTCAAGTCTCATGATGAGGTTTCCTAATCCAGGGAAAGTTTATTTCTCAGACGATGAGCCAACTAGGTCTTCAATGTAAACCAAACAGCAAAACCTTTCTCCTTGATTGGGGCAAAAATTCAAGTATCTTCTTTAAAGGCTCCCAAATATTGGTACTGACCTCATGATGTGTGCTCACAGTGTGTCAGGGCCTTGCTGTCTACGGGGATGACACTAATCCTGGCGGTTGCAGACCTCACGGCCTCCCCGAGGGAGAAGACTGGAGAACGGCAAAGCTGCTCGAGGCAAGTCCTTGCCTGGCCTGTCGGCTGACACTGAGAAGCCACCCAGTGTCTGGGTTTCTCATGGCTGCTCGCAAACAACCTACCTCCCTCGGAATAGTGTAGGCTTTCTTTTAAGTTATAGATTTGCTTACAGGTGGGCTTTCCCCCCTGGCTGGTGTGGCTGGATTGGTGTTGCCCTGTACACCCAAAGGTTGCCGATACCAGGCAGGGCCATGTCTGGGTTGTGGGCTCGATCCCCAGTTTATGCTCTCGCATTGATGTTTCATTCTCTCCCACTCCTCTCCTCTCTCTAAAAATAAAAAATCTTTTTTTAAAAAGTGGGCTTTTTGTGTGTGTTTTGTCATCTTTAGACCCTCCCAATTTCCAGACAAACACCCCTTAAAAAGTGCACCACTGGGTTCATCATAGTTTTCCCTGGAAATGTTGAGACCCATGCCTGGCCCCTCCACACACATGCCGAGAAGCCCTGCCTCCGTTAAAGCATAGCATCTTCAAGCGTGGACTTAGGATGCACTTGGGACCGAAAGGCTCGCTTGAAACTCCTACTGCATCATTGCAAGTATTTTGCCTTAACATAATTAGAATGTACAAGGGCAAAGTTGGCTTTCAAGTTATGTCTAAACAGAAATGGAACAAGGAGAGGGTGGAACTAAGGATTTACGCTTGCGTGTGTGTGAGGGCCCACAGAAGCAGCAGTTGGTAATTCCTGCCCACACCTAGATTTAGGGTTCCCTTGTCACATGGATCCTCTCATTCAAAAAGGGCATTCTATCCCAGGCTCCTGGGAGCAGCGGTGTCGTTTTCTATGCTCCGGGTAAGTCCTGCAGGGTTTGGCAGTGAAAATGTATAGAACTCTAACTCTATAGGATACAGCATTACCCTGTTTAATACTGCCTGGGAGTAGCAGCGTGTGCAGATTTAACAATTGCAGCTCCAGGCCTTTGCGGAAGAGAAACTTAACTGTGCTGGCAGGTGTGTGGGCCATTCAGTGAGTGCGCGACTGGGAGGCATGAATCTGCTGTCCCACCAGTCACTCCCCTTCCATCTCGTCTCTGTGGAAGCATCTCCCTGCCTGGAAGTGCTTCTAATGTTTAAGTACCTTTCATTCAACACGGCCTGTGCGCTCAACCAGCCAATGGAATGGTGACCTGTGCTTGGAGGACCAAGCGACCACGGCTTCCTGGCTCCATCGCAGTCTCAGTAACTCAGGGTGACTGCAGTTTTTGTCTTGCTCTGTAGACCACCTTTCCCACCAGCCTCCTCCCAGGTGGAAGTCCACCTAATTGCTAACTAGCCTCGGGGTTTCTTCTGTGAGCCAAGAATCGTACCTAAAAGTGAATGTTATATGCCTCGTCTTCTTTACAAAGATGCATTTTCTTTTTTTCATTTTCTCTCCAAGACAATACGATCTCCATGCTTTGGTCTTTTAAAGGCAGAACCTATCTTCCTATATCCCTTCTCTCAATGAAATGTCCTTCCAACACTCACACGGAAACTACCAACACTAGATTTTTAAAGAGCAAAGAGTAGCTTGGTGACAAGGTTTGTCTGCTGTCACCTGCTGAGCCATTGGGAGGCAGGCTGACGTGTCTGGCCGGGATGACCCCTGGCCACCTCTGCCCGGGTGCTGGGCTCCAAGGCACCAGCTTCTGAAGAACAGGCTGCTCTTCCACGGAGAGATGTTCATGGCCATGTTGGTCCCAAGAAGCTCGCGGCAATCTTTCTTTTCAAAGTGGAGGAAATGTTTAAGTTATATTAAAATGTAATCCATTATACAGAAACATTCTATCCCTTGACCCCTGAGGAATGAAATGGCCAGTCCCTGCCTCCACAGCTTTTGTTGCTGAAGGGGGAGCTAGACAACTAATTAAAATGCAGTTGTTTCCTAGCAACCCCCTCAGTGCCTTGCACTTGCAGTGTGACTTACCTGACCAGTACAAGGTTCATGGATTCCACCTCACAGGACTAACAGTCTCACTGGGAACAGTAAGACAGCTCCAGCTCTCTAGCCATTCTGACGTTCTTTTCCACCTTGGAAAAAGTGTTTCTTGAAAAAAAAAAAAAGCTATTAATCTCCCTACCTTGAGCAGGAGACCGGCCCCTCCTGTCTCCATCGCTCCTGGCAAGATCAGCACCCCCACAGGCTGTCTGGTTCGGGGGATGTTACTAACCTCCCTTGTAGCATGGTTTCTGTAGCCATAAATGAGGATGATAGTCATACCTACTTGATAGGGCTGCTCTCTAGCTGGCTCACAGCAAGTGTGATGTCAGTGTAACGTCACCCTCATCACCTTCATCACGCCAAGCCCCTCACAAAAGGGCCGCCAGACGGCAGTGAAGAATGAGTGCCCTTTATTTCTGTGTCAAGACAGATGCCTCAGTTATCCAGCTGGCACAGGGAGGCCACCCCGCGGTTTATCCAGTGCTTCTGGGGCCTGTCCGTGGGGAGTTCGATGGAGAGGACGTAGTTGGTAGAGTGGCCCGTGGTGGACAGGACGCCCCTCCGGGCGCTTGTTTTATAGACTGGACACTCGTATATGTCCTGGTGCAGAAACGCTGCACTTTTCCCGGGCTTCAGCCAAATGATGGGCAGTGGGTCGTAGAGGATTTTGGGGAGAGACTCCTCGATCTGCTGCGTGCTCCTGTCCCAGCGAGCGCCTTCTAGGAAGAGCCCTTTAATGTAGGCCCCATCTTCCGGGCTGCTTTCCATGGTGGCTTCTTGTGTGGTCACCTGGAAGAGAGGACTGTGAGTGCTGGGACCTGCCATTTGGAAAAGTGCAGCCTGGCTGCGATGTCTGCCTGTCCCAGCATGCCCCTCCCAGGACGCCAGCTTCTGTGATGAAATGCCTGTCTGCCGTCCGCGGGCCATGCACCCTTCTATGTGGCAGGCGTAGGGAAGGCACCAAATTAGGAGTCAGAGGCCACCTTCCGTGGCACTAGCTGTGACCCTCTCTGAACCGGGGCCTATAGAGTGAGAGTAGGTCAGAAACAGTTCTCTGGGGGAGAGAGAGAGCCGTGGCTTGTAGTTTGGGTCAATTTCTGTGGTCTACAGACTCCCACCATGGCCAAGTTCAGGCTACCACCTACTTAACAATCAGTTCCATCTGGCTTTGGGGACTTGGTATGAGCCAGCTTTAGTTCACCACAATTTATTTATTTTTATTGATTGATTTTAGAGAGAGAGAGAAACATCAATTTTTGTTGTTCCACTTATTTGTGCACTCATTGATTGATTCCTGCATGTCCCCTGACCGGGACTGAACCTGCAACCTTGGCGTATTGGGACAACGCCCTAACCAACTGAGTACGTGGCCAGGGTATCCACCACCATGAGACTCCGAGGTAGAAAACTCTAATTCCTTCCAGTAAACATAGCAAATGGTTCAGGTAGGAGAACAGGGAGTGGTGGGGTTAGGGTGAACCACAGAGCATAAGCTCCATTCTAAAATCACGCAAATTCTAATCGTTTTGTTATTGTCAATGGAATGCTTATCCCATTTCTACTTCTGAGTACTTATCGCTTGAGTAGGAAAGGATATTGATTTTTGTATATTTAACCAGTCACCTTACAAATTCTCCTATTCTTATATATATGATTTTAGGGTCTCTTAGAATTTCTAGGTATACAATCATTTCAACATTAAAAAAATGTGATTTTATATATTTTCCTAATGTTTATCCCAGTTATTTTTTTTTACTGCATTAATTTTGGATTAACATTGTCTTCAGAGTTAAGTTTATTCACAAACTAAGTTGAGACCTAGGACAACCAGTTTGTGAAGTCTGGATTAGATGATCTCAATCAATCTTTCCACAGAGTTTAAAATTCTACAATCCACCAGTCCCTCTGCTCCCTTCTCTCCAGAGAGTGTGACAGGGTGATGCTCCACCATTGACAATTCCTTTAACTTTACCCCAAGCAAGGGACTACCCAAGTCCATGATCATCTCCAAATGAGGAGCCGCCACGTTAAATAGACAGCATGGGAGAATGCTTTCACTTTTCTTGGCATAAAGGTGGCAGATTTTTCCTTTGAAAAGATAGATCCCTTTTATATAAACAGATGCATGGCCTTGGGAATCCCCTGGTTCTGGCGGAATAACTTTGGAAGTACTTTAGTTCATGCTAAGTATTTCATTTGTACGTCTCAGAAGCACTTGTGCCCGCACATGGAACGTTCAGACCAGTAAGGAAACGGGCAGCACTGCCCCTGGCTGACCCCAAGCGCCCGGCCGAAGCTCCTACCTCAAACTCAAACCCAATGTGGTCGATGGGGATGGTGTACTTCCGGGCATAGTTCTGGGATACCCCCGTCAGAAACGACTGCGTGAAGTAGAACCCGGAGATCCAAAAGACCACAGGGGGCCCGCCGGAGATCCAGTCCTGGGGCCACAGAAACAAAACTCAGTCCACACAAAGGCAGGCACTGTAAATGAGTCCCATTCAGAAATACGCTTTTTCTCCTTTCCTTGACACAGGCGGCCTTCCAGCCTAGCTTATGTTCCCCCACTCAAATGAAGGCACAAAGAAACACATTTCTGCTTGAAGAGACACACAGGGGCAAGCTGGGTCTGGGCTGAGCACAGCCTGTCCCTGTAGCCGGGTGGCCATGCAGCCACTGGCCCAGTCCCCCTGGTTCTGTAGGACAAACATCTGGCTTTTTATGTCTAATAATCCAATGTTTACAGGCTAGCTCAAGAATTTTAAATTGCCAGGAGCCAAACCAAATATATAGCCAAATCTGGTCCATGAGCCACCAGTTTGTGACATTTATAATAGTTCCTACGCTTGCCTCCACAGGCGACCACCTTTCCAAGAACTCTGACTCCGGCCCTCCACTCTGGGGAGACTGTTCCCAGCAGGAGTGAATCCAGGTGGCTGCGCGGCTGCCCCTCCTCCTCCCACCGCCTCTAGTCTGTCCTTTCCACATGTCCTGGCCACCTGAGTGTGCATGCCGGGCGCCCAGGACCCTGCCTTCCAGGCACCTGGAAGAAGGTCAGGCGGGCCAGCAAGTCGGCCACATAGCCGCCCAGCGGCTTCAGCGACGGGTAGGACTTGGCCATCCACATGGCCGGCACTTTGCCGATGAGCATGCTGTTGAAGACGTCCTCCAGCTCCGAGGACATCAGAACCTGCCCTTTGATGGCGCGGACCAGGCTGATGAGGCTCTTCCGGATCACTTTGGTCAACCTGTGAGGACAAAGGCGTGCTCAGCCCCGCCGAGTCTCCTTCCCCAGGACACGGACTCCTGGCTCCCTCACTTTCCCTTTAAAAGGTCAGAC